TGTTTATAATCAAACTTCGTTTTCCTTCGAACACATCGATTGCTAAAAGCTCATATGTTCGTCCTTAAGCACAAAGCTACTGTTAGCTACACATTAGGCTATGTGTGTTCTGCCTACCACGGTATCGAAACCTGATTTTTTTAGAGTTGTAAGCCCTCAGACTTGCCACTGAGACACCGGTAACATGTAAGTATATATCTGTCATGGGGAAGGGAAGAAACATTTAGTGAGTAGGTACAACTTTAAATTTGCCTGTTAAAGTATTTAGTCAACAATAGACCCCTATGTAGAATTTCAATTTATGGTTGTAGTAGTTTTCATCAACAGATGGCAGCACTCTACTAATAAATGCTTCACCTGAGTATGTTTTCTAGAAAGCAACATTTCTGAAAACTACAACAAGTTTGAGTATTGTGAGATCACAATGTTTCTTCATAAATTCCTCTTTTTTTTTTCTGTTTATGAAAGATTTCGAGTTGCACATAAGATGTTTAAATTAAAAATTCAGAGTAGTGGACTAATAAACTAAAAATATTATGAGTGGGTTTCGTTACACCTGATTGCAATTGTTCAGTTTTCGTTTTGCCAAAGTTTGATTGTCTTAGTTGACAAACAATATGTTATTTTTAAAGAGAAACATTGCTAAATAATCCATGGTGGTATTGATATTTTCCAATAAAAACGTACATATAAATTAAAATTCAACATGTTTATAAGAACAATGACTTGCAATGAGTACTCTTTAAAACTTGATACTTTTGACCAATTGTGAAAGCTAAGCTGTCACGTGATAACACACGTGCACTTATTGATCCTGTTCTCAGCCGTGATATAAATTGAGACGTTGGCATTATAGTAATATCATACGGAAGGGAGGGCGAGTGAGTTGTGACCGGTTTCTACATCTGTCAGGTAAGGTTAGATAAAGACTGTAAAACTTTTTGTAATTCTTAAAATCAGAGTTAGCATGGAACAATAAATTTTTTTATAATTGATATTTGAAACCGTCGGTACTCGGTGAAACTCCATAATTACAGAATTAAGGAAAAACAAGACAATTGTAAGTTTTACAAATACATAATTTATTACAAACATGATGATGTCTTTAATGGCAAAACCATGGTCGTAATATATTATGTATGTGTGAAACGTACAATTGTTTTTCCTCAATTTTGTTTCTTTTCATAAGCTTAAACTAATGTAAGTCAACCCCAATGTCATTGTTCTTATTAAGTACTATCGTTTACTATTAACTATAAAACGGTAATTATTTACTTTATATTTAATATATTTTTAGACGCTGATATTTTTTTCTGACTATAACTAAACATTGAAATGAGGAGCGATAAATGGGGCATAAATATTTGAAGTTTGTTTTTGTGAGACTGAATCTTAACGGCGAACTTTCAATACAGGCAAGTCCGAAAGTGTGCATAAATTTGAAAACAAACTAACGCGTATGACTTTACGAGTTGTTATTGCAGAGATGCAGAGGCGGCCGTAATGGGCTGAAGCTACTTCAAAATATGCCTTGATCTCCCCTGCAACCCCCCCCCCCATTCAACAAAAAGTGCTTCCCTTTTAAAGCTGGTTCTTTTCCTAAATATTATAGTATGTGTGTTCCCATAAAATGTAGAGGCCCTCAACTTTTCCAGCCCCCCTCCTTACCGAGAAGAAGCTGGCGCCGACCCAGCAGAGATAATGTAATTTGGGTGGCAGTTGGTATCGCGCTTGTGATTTCTGTTAGTGGTCAATTTTTCTTTGTTAATCTGATTTGTTTACTCAACAATTTATTAAACAATTAAACTTTAAAATCTTAACCTTCCTGTGGGTCTTAGAACTTGTTTTCGTTGCTAGTTAAGAATGAAAATAGCCATCTTACTTTTCTTGTTAACAATCGTTCGGTACAAGATTCATTACATATTTCGAGTTCAAACCCCACTCATTAGATCGGAGTTCTAGTTGTGATTCATTGTTATTTTTTAATAATAACATGAAAGTATTCATCAGTCGGTTGACTACACAAAAGTACTCTTCTTAATACTGTCCTTAATAACAGTATGGACTTGTATTGCTTATAAGCCAAACGGTAGAAATTGAAATTAATTTACTTTATGATCAGGTTGCGATTGAAATCTGGAATATTCAAGTCCCATCTGAATGACGACGTACCACTGAAGACTTATTTCAACTAGATTAATCCTCTACCGATCTCTAGTAGCTGATTACAATTCTAAATACTGTTGCACCCCAATTCGGGAAAGTTTCCACTGCGCCCACCTCTTAACATTAAAATAATTTTCGTCAGTGACAACAACAAAATCAACATTATCTTTACCTGTTTTTAATAATTATTTTAAAATGAAAATAATACTTTCAAACAAACAGTGAATAAATGCGAGTGCATTAAAAAAAAAAAAAGAAGTTTTGAGAGCAAAGTGATAGTTTTGTTTTTGGCTCTCCCGCCAAAAGGCCTCCCCCCCCTCAATAATGGGGCGCGCCCCACAGTTTGGGAAAAAAAATATATTTTAAACTATAATTACTTTGGCAAAAAAACAAACTAGAAATAAGTGAAGTTCCAAGTATTGGAATACAAATGTATAAATAAACGGTTCGACTTCTATTCCAATAAGTATCTCAAATATGCTCTGGTCTTTTCATCGAGAAAGTCGTGGTATTTACGCTTATATCAATGGTGTTGAGGTTGTTCGACTTGAAAATGTTCCATATAGCACATTCTAATGAATCTCAAAGCATTTTTCGAGACTTGTTTATTTCATATAACATTTCTAATGCTTACTAATTTAAACCTGTCTAAAAAAAATTCATGATTACCCAAACTTCCCCATTTCTATTGGGAAAACAGGACTAATGTAAAGTGAACCCCTCTTAGTAATCTAGTTGAATTTCTATGAATTGAGAACTGGTTGAAGTTCAGGTACAATTACAATGTTCTTAAGTTTGAGGATTTTAATTTAAGGCTTAATACTAGCTAAGGATTAACACAAATTATAACCACTAACATCTTAAAATATACTGTCATATCGTTGTTCTTCGTGAGCGGGTTCTTTTTGAATCTAAAAACAAGTCAATGTCTAGTTCACAAACAATCTCAAATTGATACATTTCTTCTTGTAAATATTCTACAAGTTTGGATAATTGTACACTGACGTAAACTGCTCTAAGCATACGTTACAAATGAAGTTCAAACTTCAAACAAAACTAGGATTATCGTAAAACCAATTTTCTTGTACAAACATCTGCCCAGAAATAAGGCTGTTTATATAACCAAGATTTGCGTAAATCCAACATTCAATTCACATTACAAAAACAAACAAACAAACAAAAAAAAACTACTATCTAGCTACCGAATTAGAACATTAAAAATATAGTTTACAATCACATCCAGACAGACACGAATTGGAGCAATTACATTTGGTCAATACCATGAATATAATGCATTATGAACTAAGTTATCTGGAAAAAAAAAAAAAATGTGCTGACAATAGGAAATTTACTGTAAATAGTACTTTGTTCAACCTAAATTAGTTATTGTAATATTTCGGTGCTTAATATTCTGTTTTAATTTTTAAAGATCGGCGTTAGTAAAATTAAAGGGTGTTTCAGTGGCGTAGCGAGGGTTTGATGGGCCCCATGGTAAATCTGTAAAAATACTTCTTGATTGACTAGTACTAACAACGTGTATATCCACTTTTTTTTTTCTGTAATACCGTCTACGTCAATGTTTTCTATGGTTTCCCTTTCCACACTAAGTACTGCCAGGTCACAAAGACTATCTTGAGACATAGAGGTAAGTAAGAATGACAAAACAACAACAAAAAAAACAAAAAAAAAACAATTGGATATTTTACTCTTACGATTTATCTTTTTAACGTTTTTCAGGTAACAAACATGGCTGCGTATTACGGAAATTCCACAATGCTAAATAAACAGACCTTGATGAAATACCTCAGCCTTCCTCAACCTGAGAACAAAGTGCAGTGTATGTATGTGTGGATTGATGGCACTGGAGAATCTGTGCGTGCCAAAACCAAGTCTATAAATTTTGTTCCCAAACATCCTGATGGTAAGTCACCTTTTATATAAAATGGCTTCCCAAGTCCTATCTAAAGAACATAAGCTATGACATAATTCACACCCTTATCCGTACTATAAATAGTATTTTGATACAATGGTAGTTTTTTTTTATATTACGTTTAAGAATCGATTGGATTAAATACATAATGTTGAGTCATTGCTTCCCCCCCCCCCACTATAAATTTCTAAGATTTCGTGAAACGAACGTCTGTCACTTAATCTTGTATAAACTTAAAACTGCGAGAGAAGTACTGTGGAGGGGAAACTACCCCCTCCACTAGAAGTAACACGATAAAATTTAAAAACTAACATTACAGAGGAAAAATGGTCATTAGGAGGAATTATTATTGTCCAAAATTAGAATATTTTACGAGTCTCACCAATTCATTTATAAACCCTTAGAACTACCCATCTGGAACTATGATGGCTCTAGTACCTACCAGGCAGAAGGATCCAACTCCGACATCTACCTTCACCCTGTCGCCCTCTACAGGGACCCTTTTCGTGGCGGCAACAATAAGCTCGTGTTGTGTGAGACTTATAAATATAACCATAAACCTACAGAATCGAACAAAAGGTGGTCTTGCTTCGAAGTGATGGAAAAAGCCAAAGATCAGCACCCTTGGTTTGGAATCGAACAGGAATATACTCTGTTGGACGAAGATAAGCATCCGTTTGGTTGGCCCAAGAACGGTTTCCCAGGTCCTCAGGGTATGTTATATTTTTCTATTTACAAAATTGTTCTTTTTTTACTGATAATACATCCCCCCCCCGGTTAATTAGCTTAACTACTTAATTAGTAATCCTATTGTCATTTATACAAGACTTTCTCACTTGCCAATTTTATTCCATTTTGAAGTACCTAATGTAATTGCAATGCTATATTTCGTCACAGCCTATGGGCATCATATTGGCCATTTCTTCATTTGAATTCATAAAATTAACACTGGTCACAGTTTCTGAAAAAAACAAACTTGAACTATACAAAACCATTAAAATGGGTTATTACGAAGTACAATTTTAGTCAATTTAAGATTAATGGAACATGCGTATCGCAATACGCGCGAAACTATTGACTTAAGCCTAGTTTCCTATACGATTGTCCTTACAGGCTACTAGTTAATAGTAATACATCGTGCGTTAGCCTACTTTGTTTGAAGAAACGGCACTAAAACATTTTCTAAGTTCTTGGAACTAAGAACAATATAAAAAAAAAAAAAAAAAAAAAAAAGGGGGGACAGATGATGAAAGACTAAAAGTTCTGTGAAACGCTGTATATGCAATATAGTACATTAGGTTACGGTTTAAACGCTAAATTATTTTTACACGCTTATAATTTCGACCCGCAATGGACAAATTAAGTTAACTTGTTTTTATAACAATTTTTAGGCCTTTTGTTTATCGACATTTCGCCGATTTTCGGCGTTGAAACCAAAAACCAATTTAACACTTTAAAGCCTAGCGCGCAAGTACAGCCTCTTGATGTCTAGCTAAATATTTCAGGCGGGAGAATTTAACTCTTTATAAAGGGGGGGGGGGCGCGCAATAGGGTACAAAAACCGAGAACTGGGGACAGCAACTTTTATTTTTATCTACTTCATAGGCCTATTGAATCATGTTTCGCAAGTTTGGAGAAAGCGTTCACACCATAACAGTTGTTTTAACAAGAGGTTTGGTTTGTAAAAGAATTATTAATAATAATGTCTTGCGATAAGTATAAAACTACTTAACTTTATTTCGTCCTCCGGGCGAGCATGGGTTAGTGTACTATTAGAAGCTTCTAAAATACTTTTCCATTTTTCTTGTTCTGCATTTTAAAACCTACACTTCATTTCTCGTAGGCCCCTATTATTGTGGTGTAGGCGCTAACAAAGTGTACGGCAGGGACGTAGTCGAAGCACACTACAGAGCTTGTATGTATGCTGGTATCAATATTGCTGGATCGAATGCTGAAGTGATGCCCGCCCAGGTCAGTGATTTGAATCGGGAGTTCAAATAAATGAATATCTAAATATAAAGTATGGGAAAAACTTAACCACTGACTTCTTACAGTCAAAATGTATAGCAACTTTAGCTAAAAATATCAAATGTCCACAATGAACTATCGATAGTAATAACGAAAAGCTAGTGTAACTGAATTTTGGTATTTATTATAAATATTGAACAATGTAATACCAAAAAACATTAGCAGTTATCGAGTTTTCGTATTCAATCTGAAGTTTAGAAAACAAATTTAAACAGTAACAATATAATGGAATCTACG